GAAGAAAAAGTAATGAACAAGAGATGGCCGTGGCTGGGCGTGTTGTTCACCGAACAGCATTATATAATTYATCGTTGCATAATTTAGTTAGAAATATGTTTGGCCGGTGTACTTTACACTTTTATATTATTATAGGCCGTTAATGAGGTGTTATTATTATATAGTGTTGGCMGGTCATYCGAACCACGGGTACTAGGCATACGTGATGATGATGTGTGTGTGTGAACTCGGTGTCGCCTATAAGCGGTGGCAGAGGGGACTGTGGGACGGAGAGCGCTATCGCATAATGGTTTATAATATTATAATATTAATTACAATTTCGATCGTTACAGTGGTTTATGGTATCAGACTGGATCTAGACAATACTTTTGAAACCTAGGTATAGGAATTTTCAATTTTCTTTTTAAAAGCTTGGTAAAACAGTTWAATACAAAGTTCTTCATGAGTTRTTATAATAGCTGTTTAAAAACATTATACATGTAAKCAAATTGTTTTTATAAGTATTTTAAATTCTAATTTTGAAAAAATTCATCAAGATCATGAATCTCTGTATGTCTTTGTAAATCTTTTAATTACTTCATATGCAAATAAAAAACAAAATAGTCTTATTACATTAATTTAGAAGTTATTTCATAGTCATCTTATTCACCATCTATTTTCAACATTATTACAAAAAGAAAATTTTTGATGTTTCACATCTGCCAGGCGTCTCTCTATGGCTCATTTTTTTTTCTCAGCAGTGGAAAAGTTGTCACCATATGAATTGTAAGACAAAGGTATCCCAATTAGCAGAGACATACACAACAATTGTATTTCTGATCTCTTGGCATCTTTCTTGAGTCCTATATAAATGAAAGAAAATTGAATGGAAAAGGCAGGCACCATCACCGATAGCTGATAATTGGTACAACTATTTGAGATGTTGACATTCCATTCCCAGTAATTTCTTCAATAGATGACATTTTTTATAAATGAAAGTGAAAATAATGCTTGACAGATAGCACCACTGTTGTATACTTACAACCATTTAATTTTAATATTAGTGGTTGAATTTTCAAAAGTCTTTTCTTAAAGCACAGTGAAATTATAATACTAACCAATCCTGAAAATTTTAAGCGGATCTGCCCTGTGGTTTGGGCTCTACGGTGATCCTTCTGGGGTACAAATTCCTTTATATATAATATAGAAGAAGATTCATGATATTTAATATTAAAAACATGAAAACGATTGAATTTAAAAAAGTGTACTTTATACCTAACTAACCAGATTACAAATAAAATCATAAAAAAATTGTATGCAGTCACTTATCAAATAATACATTCATGGAGTTCATTATATTACATTTATTACACATTGCTTCATTCTTTTTCGCTACTCATTAAGAGCTAGCATACCACAGTACTCTAATGACTAATAGTCAACAGATCTACGTTTATGAATATATTAAATAAATTCCAATAATAATAATATATTTATTAGGTAGGTAATGTTTAAGTAGTATGCAAATATTTTGTTAAATTATAAAGTACCCATTTGTAAAATGATTATTAAAAGTATTATCATTGGTGACACCTAAAGAAGTATTCAATTTTAATTATATTATTTTACCAGGATGAATTGTCTCCAGATGGCAAAAAAAAAATACAGATTCATAATTACATTGAAGATAATTAATTTTATTTTTTATCATCAAAGTGGATTGAATTGTCACCATCTATAAATAAAACTGTTCTACTTGCTGCCATGTATTATTATTTGTATTAAACACCCAGGGCACCCTTGATACTCATTAATTTATGTTTCCCCATTGAATTGTAATATTAATATTCAATCAATACTTGGTATGGTTGTACAATAATGCTTATAAATGAGGATGCTCATTTTACTTATATTATGTTATATGTTTGGTATCCAACTTCTAAAAATGTAATATATTTTTTTTTGTATTACTTCTTAAAGAATGATACAACACAATTAATAGATTTTTTTTTATTAAATGTAAATATATAATTTCATATTAAATAAAATGTATTAAATCAAATTAAGTTGTAATTACAATTGATACATATTTTAATGTAAGACTGTAAGAGAAAAATACATTTTTAATAGAWTCAAATTAATATTATTCAATAAGTTTCTTAGCTTTAAAATATCTCCTTAAGTATAAAATCTGCCATACGCTCAATCCAAATAAACAAATAATACTAAACATACTAAACCAATGCACTCTTCTACTTGTTGATTCATTCGTATTACGCATTTCTTCAGCACGATGCTTCATATCAGAAAAATCTTGAACAATAGATGATGATAAATCTTCCAACATTTTCAGATCCAATTCTAAAGGTTTCAATTTAGCCACTTCTCCAATTCCTTCATAAGTTTTTGCTTCAACACCAGTTTTAATATGTAATGCAACTTCCTGCAAAGTTCCTCGTTGATACCCAGGTACACGAGAGGTAAAACAAATTTCAAACATATCATAATTTTCAGTACTAAATGTAAACTTTCCTTTAGTAATGTCTTGTTTATTAGCTAAGATATGTCCTTTAGAGTCCCTAACAATATAATCCATAAATTGACCTTCAATTGGTGCAATCTCATAATCACCTTTTACTAAAACATTTTGTCTGAGTTCTTCACGTAAACATTTTTGTGTGTTCGGATGCATTAGCCAACGTATAGGTGTTACCAGTGGCAATGATAGCATAAGAATTAAACTTAATTTCACATCCATATTTTTTGAAAAATTGAACGTTTTGATTTTTTGTAATAATTAAGTGGTTTTCTTTTGAAYGCTGTAATAAATAAATAATTATTTTAAGCTTACAGGGCAAGTTTATGACATTTTAGATTTTTATATAGACAAAATAYTTGAACRGATTCATCAGAACGAGTTCTCWGATTTGTAATTTGAATTTTATTAGCAAATAATTAAAATTGTTAGAATTCTTTTAAGATTTAATTATACCTATCTATAAGAACATTAAGAACAGTCTATTAAGCCTATTCTCAATAATTGTTAACTATGGAATTAAGAACTAAAATTTTTCACATGAACTTTAAAACCTAAATATATAATAAAAATAATAGAGAAGGGACACAGAGTAATTATTTATAGAGTTAAATAGAATGTTTTATGAGTAATTAATGAACATGAGTATAGGTACAACAGGCAAATCATAAAGAATATATGATTCAACATCTGTATTCAGTTTTTCTAAAAAWTATATTAGGTATACATATCTGATTTTTATTTAGGGCAAGAAAATAACAAAACAATAGTTAAAACCTCCCTATATATTATTATAAGTGAGTATAGGTACTCAATTTAATTAAATTACACAATTTGTATAAAAAATTTAAATTTAAATTTTGATAAAGTTTCTTTACTAAGGAGTTGGGCATAAAAGGTCATAGACATATTTATGGAGATGACCAATCATCTGTAATGATTAAAAATKCATGATGCTTTACAAAATAAAGTATGTCAAGTACTCAAGTGTCAAACAGGTGCGGGGTGGTCAACCAAGTCATAAGTTTTTAAACAGTTGAATGATGAACGATGAATAGCATGATTCAAAATAATTTACCTTTAATTTCGTTTAATATGTTAAAAATGATTTGCTCTTCGATTGTATTTGTTGTGCTCGGCTATTGTATTTTTGTATGGATGGTAGTAATCATTTTTTCGTGTATTTAAACTTAAAGTACAACATTAATGTCAGACATAACGAGAAATCGACAATTCCACTAAATTTAGTTTATTGACATATTGTCGTAACGTTAACTCATATTTTTATAAGAATTGATGTTGTCATTATCGAATCGTRTAAAAATATGCAGCCAACAGCCATGTAACATGTAAGTATATCTTAAATTGTGCCTGTGGTCTGTAATAGTAATTACACTTACACAGTTACACAGTTACACATAGGCAAGTGTATTACGGTGTTATCAAAAAATATTTTGATGATGTTTACAGTTTCATCACGGTATAGTAGATTATCTTCCTAACCTAACCTACCGTGGTTTCATAAAAGCAGAATGATCCTGTGAGAACAGTTGTAGAGCTGATAATATAATCAATTTATTCCAAATCTGTGGTTTTATCAAAAAATACAGTGATTACTGGTTTTATTGTTTAATATAATAATATTTACTTATATATTAATATTACTGTTTAGAGTTTACTTAAAGTTGTAGGTGTTATTTAATATTTTCGATGGTTGTATTGTACTAATGCATTATATTTTTATTTAACTATAAAATATTTTATATTATAGTTGTATTATAAAATCATTATAATCACATCCATTAACCACAATCCTTATAATATACAATCAATATCACGATCACAATCACCAAATAACAAGTAAAACTAGTTTTGTCTTTTGATTATTGACTATTAAGTGTATAATCATTAGCTGCTATGATACTCTGGATACTCGACCTGTTAACTAGATGGCTAGGCAAATGTGGTTACAAGCAGGAAGCAGCTAGATGCAATGATTCTGCAAATTCTAGAAAAGCCATGATCAATATTATTTTGTGAAAATCATTTCAATATGATTTCCGTGGACCACGGGTACCTATAAATGAGAATAACATTTTGCTTGTGCTCTTGTTTTATAGTGTATACATATAATTTATTATTTTAGTTGGAAATAGATTTACAAAATCATACAACATTTAGTTTGTGGGAGCACCATCATTCATGAACATTGTCATGCCATACATTTCTTAGTGTCTAATATCATCCAATATTTGACTATTAGACAAAAAAAGTGTTATCACGGTTCAAAATCAATTTTTTTTCACAAAAGGTAACATTTTTTTTTTTTTATAATTATATATTATAATATACTATACTTAATTTTTTTTTCTTTTCTTAGTTTGATTATTATTCAGTTATATCAGAATGACAGAATATAAATCTGTATAATTACAATAACATTAACTAAAAGTTTGCACCAACTAAGAATTTAAAATAATAAATAAATATTATTGTTTCATTTAAAGAACCACTTTTTATTTTTAGTGAAATAAATCATAAGATTATTTAGATTTTTGCAATTTTCCTATATTACTTTATTTTATAGAAATGTTGCTCTTGCTCTAATAGATAAAAACATCTATGAATACTGATGTACTAGAAAATGTGTTGAAAAGGCATTCCCTAGTCAAATAGATGAAAAAAAAATATCAAATGTTAAAGCTAGTAACTATAATTTAAACTAAGATATTTAATAAATGAAGACAATTTTCTTGGTATGCAATCCAATTTGTATTTTAAGTTCTAAAAATTAATTTGATGATAAATAACTAATAAGAAAGAATTTCATTAAACTTTTTTTTTTTTGTTTTGCATAAATATATAACAATGTGCCAGAAAAATCTAATAATTATATTTATTGTTTAGTTTTTCATAGAAAGGTTAAAGTAAATATCTGTTCCTGCAGTATCTAGCGTTGTCATGCTAGTGGCTATTATAGTCACAGTTATCATTACCTAATCAATGTCCAATGCCATGTCTACACCCCACGTTCTCAATACAAATAAATGAAGAGTTGACTTTTTTATTATTACATACAGATTAAATAGATTCTCAAAACTTGAATAAATGTTTATTCCAAGATGACTTTGTTGATTGCATTTAACTTCACCTTTGTTTACAATGTTAATTACCCACTCGTATCTATACAACATTTAAGGTACCTATTATACATTTTTTTAAATTTAGGTTGGTATAATCAAAGATTTGGAGATTTATTTAATCTAAAAATAAATTCCTTGAAATCTAATTAATACATCACAAAATAGGTATAATAGTTACTTATATAAACATTTTTTTGTCCAAAAATAATTTATTAAATTATAAAAACAATAGAGTAGGTAACTTCCAATCTGTTGACAAAAGRTGTAAGTTAAATGTTGGTCCTATAATCTTTATAGGCCATAAGCTACTGTGGCGCCTTTGTCCTTTACATTTATCTCATCTTAATATGAAATACAGTGGCTCCCAACTCTATTACTAGATGTAACAGCTGCTATACCTTGAAAATAAAGGGTGGGTGGGTATAATAACATAAAATAATTAACTTGAAATATATTTATTATTAATTATCATATTGGTTGGTACATATTTACTAATATCAATAAAAATATAACAAGATGTATAAAATAATATAATGTTTAGTTTGTAAGATGGTGGGTGAGTAAAATTATTTCTTGCTACACCTTAAAAATATATTTTAGGTGCCACTGATACAACACAAATGTAAAGCTTGTTATGAGTTTATGACTGTAATGTTACTCTAAATAGTCAAGCTGTTGAAAATTATACCAAAAAATCYATATATTACAGAGTATAGATGGTTAAATTAAATTTGTGAGATAAAACCAATTCAGTGAACTATTTTTAATTTTTGAAATATTGAATTTATTAGAATTTTCCTGGATTATAATGATATTTAATTTAAGTTGAAAATGTATTGATTTTACAGTGACGTGTTTTTTTTTGTGGGACATCGCATTTTGGTACATTGAAAATGACTCAATTTTCTTTAACAGCATCGTTTTTGATAGGAAATTTAATCTATTTGTTAYTTTAGAGTTTAGTTCTCTAAAGAGTAATTAAAAAAAAAACAAAAAGGAACTGAGATTTTTACTCAAAACCAGTTATTAAGAGGACGTTTCACCCGCATGTGTTGTCTCCGTCTTACAAGTGCGTAACATTGCAAAAACTGTTTCGCGCGGTAAAGAACCGAGAAAGATACAGTTATAACTAAGAAACGAAATTTTCACCACATAAAAAGGAGAATTTGGTCTGTGCAATATTGTTTTTATTTTTTCGATATTACTTGTGAAAATTTTGTTTCTTAGTTATAACTGTTTCTTTCTCGGTTCTTTCCCGCGCGAAACAGTTTTTGCAATGTTACGCACTTGTAAGACGGAGACAACACATGCGGGTGAAACGTCCTCTTAATTAAATCAATTTTGGTTTTTGGTGTAACTCTAAAAATATCATAGATACTATGCATGCAACTTTCAATGTCTAATTAGCTATTTCCATGCATTATACAATTTTCGGAATACTTAGACTATTTTTGAGCTATTTTTAGGCATAAAAAAATGTCGAGTTCTTTTTAAAATTATTGCTGATAAAAAATTGTTTTGCTAGTCAAAAAACTAAAAACTTAATACACGGCTCTTCATAAAYTGTTTCAAGTGGAAATTAAAAAAAAATGAGGATAAATTCATAATATTTTTYTATGAGCATCTTTAGTTTGAATTTTGATAAAATGCGTAAAATTCACCAAATTACAAAGTATTTTGAGTTATTAATTCAAAACAAGTAGATTCTGAGCGGAACGATGAATGTATTGATTTTACAATGATGTATGTTTTTATTTATTTATTTATTTTGTGTTTATGTACACGATAAGTTGTTAAAATTATGCTTAGATTTTTAACTTTAGTAGCCTTTCCGGTGGGTATAGGTAAGTGAATCTAGTTGGTGCATTATGGAGGCGGAAACTTCRAAATTCTCAGTAGTTTGCGAAACCGACATGAAAAACAAAAGAAAAACGATTTTTGACAAAATTGATTTTGGATATGGATGTAACTTTAAAAAAATAGCGTATTAAAGTACATTTAATATATTGGATAAAATGTTCAATCTTTATATTTTTTTTTTTCTATAAATGTCAATACAACTTTATTCGTTGGGTAAAAAAATTTGAAAATTTAACTCAAGACTCCTAATGTAGGTACCTATTGTTACAAATTTACAATAATAGTTAAAAAAATATTAAAAATTCGTGTTCAAAATTTCTTTTTACAAGTATTTGGAGTTCGAATTTTACAAAATACGTAACGGAAATTTACCCATTTATTACCGGTGAAAATCCAATATTGTAAAATTTTCAAATGCTCATAGAAAAGTAATGTTACCTACTTTGCGGTATTTATTTTTTATTTTTTTTGTGCTGGGTGGAAATATTAGTGGGAAATCTCCACATAAGTCGCTTAATATGTTGGCTATGGAAA